GCCCGCGGCGCCGCAGCCGCCGCAACTTCGCGGGGAGCCCCCACCCGGGCGGCTCAAGTCCGCGCCCCTCTTCATGCTGGATCTGTACAACTCCCTGCCGGCCGACGGCGACGAAGGGGCGTCGCTGGAGCAGCGGCAACGACCCCGGCCTCCGGGAGCGGGCAGTTCGTCTCAGGCCCCGCAACCGCCCCCCAGTGCCACGCACCCCTTCAGCCGCAAGAATCTGCTGACTCCGGGACCTGGCGGCGGCGGCGGCGCGTACTCTCTGACCAGCGCGCAGGACAGTGCCTTCCTCAATGATGCGGACATGGTCATGAGCTTTGTGAACCTAGGTAAGGATGTGGATTAAATATAACCACGAGAACACCTTGCTTCCATCTTCCTACGTCCCAGTGCAGTGGGTGGAGGATTTGGAGAAGCTTCGGGTCCCCTGGGCAGGCGCGGGCTCGGCTGGGGTCTTTGCTCCACCTGTGCAGCCCAGGGGGGCACTGGCTGGCGCGCTCCCACTCTGCCCGGGCCGCTGGGCACGAAGCTTGTCCAACTCCCGCTGCTCAGGAGAGGCTCAGTCACCCGTGTCCGGATAGTTGGACCTGGAGGCAGGCCCGCCTGGGAAGGAAATCTCCCTCCCAGGGAGCTTTCCCTCCAAATTGCTTTCTTTTGCCCTGAACACCCAGTGCCAGTTTTCCCAAAGCGACTTTTAGGGAAAACGGCAGCAGCTGAGAACTTTGGAAACTGGACAGGATTGTGCTAAAACATAATCACGAAATTGCCCAGTGGGGGTGGCGGGACTGGGCAGTCAGGCTGAATCGCCCGGGCCCGAAAGGACCGCTGTTGCTACACCAGTTTCGGGTGGTGCTGGCCTAATCTGGAGCCGAATTAGGTTGATTTTTCCCGAGTGCCTCCTTCTCAAGCCTCTGGCCAGTGCCCTAAAGGCTGAAAAGTTGATCAGCGTCCCGAACATTGCATGACCCCAGGAAAGGTGCAGGTTAGGGGCCTGGGCGGGGCGCCGAGCTTGTGTGAATCGGTTGCTAGGCAACAGAATGGAAATTCAACGGCGGCTAAATCGGGCTCTGCCACGGAAGCTCTGTGGCAAACTAGCGCGGAGTTACATGGCTTGTTCCCGCATCAGCTGCCTCAGAGGTAAAGGCGAACCTGGCTAAGAAGACGTTGGTGGAGCCAGTGCCTCTGCGAGGCTTGCTTATGCTGCTCATTCCTAAGAGAGCTCGTCTAGACAAAAGCACGCTTTCTGAGCTGGGAGAATTGGGGATATGGTAGCTGTGCCCCAGTGGGTTAGGCAGCGCTGTGGGGTGGGACTCTGTCCAGGCCCCAGAGTGGTTGAGAGGACACTTGCCAAGCTAACACGCCCCTTTCAAGCGCACTCGTCATTCAAGGAGTTCATTGACTTCGGTGATTTGATTCCCCAGTAACTATCTCAGCATTTTCTTCTTAAACCGGTAAGGTTTGTTCTCAACTCAGCGGAGCTTTGAGGGTACAACCTGCCGGTGGGGACAGGGCTGGAGGACTGGAGGGCAAATGCAGAGGCCGGATAGAAGGTTGGCCTTCAAGTGGTCTGGCAATCCTCCTGGGAAATTCATGAAATTGAATCTCACAGGGAGTGAAGGTCCAGCACCTGCCAATCTCACTTGCAAGGCCAGACATTCTGATTGGACATGAATTTTCACAATTGGTTGTAATCAAAGCCAGGGCTGAAGCTTGGAAGTTGACAGGGAGTGGGGAGTGGGCGGAGCGAGAGCACCAGTGCTGCTCGTGGTTATAACTCCTCTGTTTCATACTTCCTCAGTAAATTCTACTTCGGACTCTCAGCTTCACTGCCTCCCCTCTCAAGTTTCCTGACAGTTGTGGGGAGGAATGTCATGTCTTTTGGGAGCATCCCAACCTGGAAAGAGTGGGTGGAGGTCAGGCTGGGGGTAAACTGGCCCACCTGGTTCCTTTATGGGGTACCTTCTCTGGGAAAATAGTTTCTAGTCTTAGACTGTGCCTCTCAACCGGGGCTGCCTGTCAGCCCTATTAAGTAAGACTACTTACAAAATAAGGAATGGTGGGGTTGCACCGCAAAGCAGTTACATCCGAATCTCACCCTATTTAAAGTGCCTAAAACGAAACCCACTGCCTTCCAGTCCACTCTGACCCGCAGTGATGGTACAGCGCACAGGAAAGCTGTCCAGGATGTTTCCCATAGACTGAAGCAAGCTTCGATTCACACTGCTGACCAAGGTCTTCAACCACTCTGCCACCAGGCATGCTCTTAAGAGCTCTTGTGTCGCTCCAATGTGACAGTATGGCCAAGAACCACTGGCGCAGCAGATCCTGATGTTAGGACTGAAACACTTTCCAAAGAATCAATGCCAGTGAACAACTGAGAGAGAAGTTCACTTCCATGAGTGCTTCCTAAATGTTGCTGCACGCTAGAATCACCAAGGCATTTTTAATCCTAATTAGACCAGAATATGTGATGTGGGAGCCACGTAGCAGTGTTTTGTTTTTTTCTTTTTTAATTTTATTCTTTTTAAAGATCCCAGGTAATTCCAGAGTTGGGGAACTACTGCTTCTGGTAAAGGAGCCCTGGTGACAAAGTGGTTATGAGCTTGGCTGCTAGAAACAATGTTGGCAGTTCAAACCCACTAGCTCCTCTGCTGGAGAATGCTGTGGCAGTCTGCTCCCAGAAAGACGTAGAGTCTTGAAAACCCTCTGGGACAGTTCTACGTTGTTCTATTTTTAAAAAAGGAAGAGAAAAAAACCCTCTGCCATTGACTGGAATCCATCTGACTCCTGGTGATCCCTGCGTAGTTTCCTAGACTATAAATCTTTATGCGGGCCTCATTCTTCTCCCATCAGTCGGCTGTTGGGGTTGTACCTCCAACATTGTGGTGAGCAGCCCAATCTTTTACTTACTGCTCTACCATGGCTCCCATGGATGAACTGGAAGAAGGCACAAAACAACAGCAATTGCTTAGCTGTGTGGCTTCCCAAAATAAGGATGTTAGGAGAATCCCATAGATTTCCTAGTCTATGTAGATGGCATGTTCACTGCCTCCCCCCACAGAAAGATAATTGTTACATGCACTGTTCTAAAGTCTTCCTATATGGCACTGGGTTAATTAAGTTCTAAATTGAAAGGATAAATGAGACTGTTACGCAATTGTAAACATCTGTCTTCCCTGGGACTGGGGGAATCATTGTAGTCACGAAAAACATTTAAAGCACCCTGAATCTTGTCAGAGTGATGATCAGGAGGAAGTATGAATCAACATGATACCTTTCTTTTGAATATTCCAACTGCTGGTTCTTCTCTCAGTCCATTGTAGATGTTGATCACTATAGCAGTCCCTGGGATGTGAGCCCTTCCATGTGCCAGTCTCAAGGGACGGGTGCTGCCCCCGGGGCAGCTTTGCAAGGAATCCGGACAACTCAGTTGGGGTACAGAGGCCATTCGCTATTTGTTTTCCAATGTGAAAAGAAAACTTGGCAGCCAATTTGGTGACCTTGTAGAAGTATCCTGAGATACTTAGCTTAAAATTCACCTTCTTTGAGAGGCCATCTCTACTCTGGGATAGAAATTGGTGCTGTCTCCACTCACATCTATTTCTTCACCATTGCACCACCCAGTGTGTTGCTTTGCTGCCTTGATCCAGATTTTTCCTTTTTTAAAAAAAAAGTTATTTACTCATTTGTTCATCTCCCTATAGATTGTCAGTCTCAAACGACAAGACCCACGCTTATCAACCACTGGAGCCTAAATGCCTTATGTTTCTGCAAACATAAAAGTCAACAAAGAGGGCATGCGTGAACATAAAGACAGCTCCCACTCTTTAAATTCCTATCTTGTTCATTTGGAAGCACCGGGCATTTAGAAATGGTGCATCTGATATTTGTTGAGTGGAAGTTTGCAAGAAGTGAAGATACTTGATATTTGTATCCACTTTTTTGTATTTAGATCATAATGTTTCACTAATACATCTCTTTTCATTAGTTCCGTATAGGTATAATAACTTGTATATTATATTGGATAGTGGTAAAAAGTTTCTTTAAATCCTATTATTTAAAACTCCATTCATTTTCAATGAATGAGTTTGGTCTCCAGAAGTAGGACCAAATGAAATGAAGAACTTAAATTATGCCCAACAAATGGAAGTAGTGTGTGGTTAGTTTTGGTATAAGTAACAAGAAACTTATATACTAAAAATTACTGGCAATCTTCTGTATAAAAAACTGGTAAGGGGAACATAATTCAGAAAAAGGTATAATAGGCCTTACTTGCATTCATAGCAGAATACATGAAGTTCATGGACAAATGTAATGAAAAGAAAATGGACTGTTTCCATGAACTTTTGGAAATCCTCCTCTCCCCTCAGTTGTATCTTTTCTGAATAAGCAGAAGATGAGTAGTACTACCTTTTCATTTGGGTTGCCTATATTTATTAAGGTTATTCTTTTGAAAATTTAAATTTATTTTTATTAAGGTTATTCTTAAGCAGAAAATAAACCAATGCTTGCAAGCTGGAGAATTTGCAAGAGTGTGGCCCAGAAAAACAGGTAGACAGATGTTTTCTTAAACAGAGTGCAAATAGTAAATGGGAAATTCAATGGTATCACAGTAAGAAGTGCTACAGTGTGTTCTTCAATGAGGATCAAAGGGCAAGGAGATATCATTGTTTAGACTTTAGCTGGCATTTCCTCTGGTTGTCCTATTAATGGGTAGATATTCTTGAATCTGCTGAATCATGATCAGTTCTACTTAATAGCTTACCTCTGATAAGCCTGGAGAAAGGAGACCCTGTGATATAAAAATCTACGTATATGAAAAACAAAATATAGGAACACAAGGTTCAGCATTTTCTCCACTTCTCTTGCATTTTTAATCACCGTCTGTTCAGCGTTTAACTACTTCCCATGCTGGGTTTCAAATGAATGTTTTAGTTGAATATGGAAGGAGAGGGCAAATACCAGATATCAAAGCAAACTTTGTTAACAGTGGACCCATCCACCTCAGTCTATTTAAGAAGCTGAGTTAGAAAAGAAATAAGGTAAGATTTCTCAGATAATTTATCAGCTTTCTGAAACCCTTTAACAATTTAACCCCCATCCCTTGCCTCCTGTCTCACATAGAAAATTGAATGCCCCACAGAATGCTTTTTTCCTTTTCTTAAGCTTAGCTTAAGTTATTATAGTTTTTAAATTTCTTTTTCCATTTTGAGCTTCAGTCTCTGCCCCCACCCCATTCCCTATCCTTTCTGATCATCACGTATTTTATAATAATTTGACTCCTTGCCCCCATCTGATTGTTAAGTATCATTGGTTGATTGCTATTAAT